TCCTTTATTGTTATTTCAACCGCTTTTCCTGTTCTTTTAATCTTCAGTGCAAACAAGGCGTTATTGCTGTCTAATTTAGGCCGTCTAATGCGGCTATGCGCCCAGGCCGTAGGAGGCGTGGAAACCAAGCTGACAGGAAGAAGGGGAGAGTTCACTCAGGAGGAGAGAGGATATTTTAACAAGGTTCGATATTGTCTTTATTCCTCGCCTTTTACGTTGGTCCGCCCAGTTCTTGAGCTGACATTCACCATGAGAGACGGTGTGTCATAAACCCGGCCAATTTCAACGTATTTTGTTACGTTTTTTGGATTAATGTCAGAATCTCAACAACTGCTCCGTCACCTACCCCTTCACAGACCCAACAGCAGTCAACGGATAGAAAGTTAGGGTTAACTTTGGGTTACGGGAGGGGTAGGTGCGCAGTTGAACTGATACTGACAGTGATCTTTTTCATGTATTCAGTTACCTAATTCAACATTAACATTGCGAAAACAGTTACCAAATTTGTCGCGGTACGCTGTACTTTACATGAACAATACGATATACGAGCATTGTTGGCATTGTCAATACTACTTAAAGTAACACTGTTGGAGCGTTATAAAAGCAACACCAGTGATCACAACTACCAATCAGAAAAAAGGTTGACATCATCAATAACCAATGAAAACTTAAAGTAAAAGTAGGTAACCTGCGTCAAGCGCGGGAAAGCGCGAGTGACCAAGTTGAGATTGGTCTTAGTTTTGCATCTGATTGGTTGAGAGAGTAAGCACGAACTCTTTGGACCGATCACGAAGCAAAGTGAAGCAAAACCCAAGTAATTCAAGGTCACTCTCGATACTCTGTTGAAAACTGCATGACATTTTCATTTACCTTTCAGCCTAATCGTATTAACCTTGTACAGTAGAGTATAGAACATGGGCAGTTTTTAATTGAATGTGGTGTAGAGGACATTTACGTGACAACTGCTCGATATTGTTTTCACCCTCACGAAGATCCGCGCTGTACTCAGGTTACGAAGTGCTCTCTAACTGACCTTAATTATGATTCTTGTTGCATTGTCACCTGTTGCTGCCCTAAGTCCTTAACTTTTTTTGTTCGGCTAATTCTAAGAGCACTGTTGATCCTTTGCGATGCGTTTTTTTTCCTCTCGCACCAGATATCGTGGATGTGATCTAAAGAGTTTGCCTTTTTTAACGTCAAACTGCAACCATGTACACAATCCTTACACTTTTTGCAACCTTAAAACCGATCATATCTCATTCTTTCTCTCCATAATTTTACCACGATTATTTGAACCAAATCGACTGCCCTATATAAAATTTCCCCTTTGTCTTTACAGGCTTTTGAGTTCTACAACAAGGCTCTTCGATGTTTGGCTGACAGGAAGAAAAGTCCAGAGGTCTGGGACACAGTCACGTGGGAGTTATCGGGCTCTTACTTTTCAATGGGGACCCTCCTACAAGATTTTGCACCCCTTTCCACTTATGCTCAAGAGCAGGTAACGGACCTTTATGACGGTACCAGTCAAGCGTCAGTTGACGCAGAAAAGGTCCGAAATCCAGTTTAGTGCAGTCCATGCGGGTCCAGAGTTCATTTAAAGTCTATTGGCCGGTTATTTGCACTTGCTTTAACCAAAACCGCAGTTTTACGCAAGCAGTGGGCCTTACGTATTCTTTGTAAGAGGGTTGTTTTAATTAAATAAATATCGCTCCACGGCTAGCTTTCGGCCCTTTAGAAACTGTTCACAAAATTAAATGTTCAGATAAAAGATTCAGCGAAATTCAAGATAATTTAGAACGCAGTTTTGTTATCAGTGATAAATTATGACTGGTCCATTAGAAGCTCTTCCTCGTGATCATCTCTCGCTGTTTCTCAAGAGAGATTAAAATTGTTTTCCTATTAGCGGCGATCTTTTCAGTTTGAGGACTTCTGTTTGTTATGTCCATTAGGTTGAACAGGAGGTAACTGAGCTGATGATGAAAGCACTCCGTCTGTGTGAACAAAGTGTCACTTTGAGTACGCCACACGTTAAACCCCGGTCTCTTTACCAGCTCTATCATCGGATAGCTTCAATTCACCATCGGCTGGCGTCTCTTTACCACAATTCTTATAGGAACCAGGTCAGATTGAGTAAAAAGTTACTCTGATTTTTGTCTGAGAAAGAGAAGGTTCTTAGCATGAATCTGGAGATGAATGATCCCGTCCCGTGGTGCATCATGAGTGTTTTGGGTCGTGAGCTTGTTTGTTTTTCCTTACGGTGATTAACTTGTTTAATAATAAATCGCTGACTGGGTGGCCGATTGAACGATGTTTTGGTCGCTCGATGAATTGAGAGGTTTGCCCATCGACCATACCAACGGATGGACAGACGGATTGATTGGCTGACTGATTTTTTGAATTACTGTTTGACTGGTTGGCTGATAGACTGGCTGACTGGTTGACTAACTTACTGATATACTGACTGAATGACTATTTGACTGACTTACTAACTGGATGGCTGGCTGGCTAGCTGGCCGGCTAGCTGGCCGACAGACTGGTTAACTGGTTTACTGACAGTTTGACAGACTGACAGACTGATTGTTTGACTGACAAACTGACTGTTTGACTGACTCAAACATTCGCCCTGAAGAAGGGCTAACGGTCGAAACGTCAACTTTGAAACCCTTTACGGTGACCAATTTACATTATCAATTCAGTCGATGAAACCAAGAATTATGTTATAATCCCCCACCGACGCAGCACCACAGTTTCTTTAGAACTTAACCCCTTTAAAGTTTGACCGACTGATTGTCTGACTGACCGTCCAGATAGACATGGAGAAGAGAGTCATGCGCTCTTTTAATGAATTCAATTGCATTCAACTATATTCATTAAAGTTTTTCTTTTCAAGGCTGTTGATCACTCAAAGAAGAAAGCGCGCTCTCTAGCGGAGTTACACTACAGCAAGGCAGTGGCATATTTCGATGCCACCCGGTACCCCTGTGAGAGGATTCGAATTCACTTGGAGCAGGTCGCCATGTGTGAATATCACGTGACCACTTACGGTGGGTCTGCGGCAGCCATTCGTAGTTTACAGTCAGCTTTGGAGCATTTGTGCCAAACTAGGACAGCTTTAGAATATTTGGGAACATTAAAGGTTTCCGAAGAGAGTGAATGCAAGACTGCAAAGGGTGATGAAGGTTCCGAGTCACATGTAGTCGTTTGGGATGAGATAAGGACGCTAGTTCCGATTTTGGAATCGCGTCTCACAAGTGTTTTGAAAGAACTTGTGAAGGCTAACAGTACGCTGAAGAACAAAGGAAAGTCGAGCAGGGACTGGGGAGGACTGGAAATGGCCAAGCAGATGTACTCTGTTGCATTGCGGAGCAGCAGTAGCAGTGGGGTTGAGGATATTGTCAAAAAATGCCAGAGAATAGCTGAAACTCTAAAAAACCTCCAAGAAATTAAGCAAACGCAGTGATGCCTCTGCTTCTCACAACTTTAGTAGAAAAGACCCCCCCTGAAGAGGGAGTCCCGTAAGACGTTTATGTGAGAGCCCCTCTACAGTCAAAATCCAGCCTAATTTTCCCCCTTCCTTCTTTCCTTCCTTCCTTCCTGTAAAGGGATCTTACATTTGATTAAATAGGTAGTTGATGTGGGAGTCGTTTGGTTCGGACAGACGGTGTGTGCCTCAGTTTCAATGTAAACTGTAGATTGTTATAAATTATTACCTTAGGTAGTCAGTCATCTGTAAAGCGTGCTGAGGTTATGTAGCTGCGTTGTCGAAGAATTTTTTTATTAATATTATTGTAAATGAAACTTTTACAAGTATTCTTGTGAAAGCAAACTCGAACTGATAGCTCCTACCCCTTGCAGGTAAAATATTTTCATGGTAACAATAGCAACTTAACCAAAGCGCTATTGCATGTATGTTCAGTCAATTAATGTCCATTAATGTCCGCTCAACACTGTTGCTGAGGATGATGTAGCAGAGAATGTTACAAGGAAGCAAACATGGGATCATTGGATCTAAACAAAATTAAGTGAAAAGGGAAAGTCTCTGAAAACTAAGCGGTTCTGGTGAACAGGATAGTGGAGTGGATGGAATATTTGATATATCAAGGTAAAGATAATGCGTGTTTGCCTTTAAACAAACATGTTATGGAATAATATTCGTCCTTTTTTCCGCTAGATGTCACTAAGGTCTCAGGAAATTTATTTAGACGCGTCGTACTCTCGCAGCTAAGGCGAGAGTAAGTTTTACTCTCAAGATTTTTCTTGCTTAATAAAGATCCAAGGTGATTGGTTCACAATCCCTGGAAGCTTGGAAAGGAACCATATTAGTTGAAGACTACGAAGAGTGCCTGCTATTTAAATCTTGTTCAGAGGTAATTGTATTCACAGACGAATGCGCGTACGAAATCTCCTCCCTGGAGGTTTGGGTGGAGAAACCACCACTCCCCGCACGCAAAAATTTTGGAGAGTGTGACCTCTGAGAAAGAAGGTGCATTCGTCGAATTTCTAGGGGAAGATTCCTGGATGGAAAAGTCGGCCTTGAGGGTCTTGTTTTAGAAGTAAAAGTATTACTTTGAAAATTCTCGTCAGAATATGGGAACATCAATAAACAACAAAAGAGACCCCCTAAAGAAAGACTGGCCGCCGACCGACTGGAAACCCCCTGCCACTCTAATTTCTGCGTTAAATTAAGTTAGTCAAGGTAAGATAGCGTAAAAGGAAAATTAGTCGCACAGGGAAGCCAAACCGCGGTTTTTCTCCCGCCTTTAATTCAGGCCACCTACCTCATCTTCTCTTGATTGTCACAGCGTTAGGTCAGTATTGTGCCCACCCCTTTGAATTCTTAGCGGCCTTCTGCCCTGATATCCTTTGCTGTTGCATGAAACCGTCTAATTTATTGTTTACATGTCTTAAACTTCCCAAGTTATTGTTTTCTTTCGATGAATGGGATTCAAATGACTTTTTTCCGGATGACAGAGTTTGGTCGAATAAGCAGCCGTGAAAAACTGGGAACGATACTGCTGACGGTGCTAATTTTTTCGCGCCAATGCCCGCGAATAGCAAGAGCATAGTATTCGACAAAATGCAACAAGTCGCTTTTTTTGAATCGCCAGTAGGTTCTTACGAGATCAAGGCCGACGATGATGGTATCACAAGCATTAATCTGAAAGGAGAAAAGCTAGAGGCAACAGAAGAAAACAAGAAACTGGACCCCAACAGTCACTCCACTCGACACCTTCAGGAATGTATTGCTTGGATGAATGCATATTTCTCCAGTTCTCCTATGCAGAAAGTTAAGGTGCCGTCTCTGAACGTCCAAGAGTATGAAATTAGCAAGCCATTTTGCTGCAAAGTGTGGAAGATTCTTACGGATCGGGTGAAGCCAGGAGAGACAGTGACTTATGGAGAACTTGCCAATATGGCGGGCAATCCTAAGGGTGCAAGGGCTGTTGGAATGGCGATGAGGACCAATCCCATCCCTATTATCGTACCTTGCCACAGAGTTGTCAAAAGTGGAGGCGGTCTTGGAAATTATAGCTCATATAATGGCGTTGTCACTAAGAAATGGCTTCTTCAACACGAGAAGGCCATCATTTAACCTTTTAAACCCAAACACGAGTATATCTTTATTCTCCGTTCTGTTCACTATACGTTTTTTTATGGTACTGACAAGGAGAATCATTCCTCTATTCTCATGAAATTGATGAATGATTCAGCAATATTATTGTAAGGAGAAATAAGATGCTGGTTACTTTAAGGGGACATGGGGTTTATAACCTTTAGATATTTGATTATGTAGGAATTCCCATATATAAGGGCAACTGAAAGGTGTAAAGGAATTCACAAACCTAAGGCCTGTCTCTTGAAGGTCTGGGTAAATTAGCAGGCCCCTAAGGTTCTACTTTCATCAGAGATAGGGATTTCAAAAGTTTTGAAAATGATACAATAAATAATCAGCTAGAAAATCAAAAGGGACTGGTAAGGATGCTAGAACTTGTTTCTCTTTTCCTGAAATTTTTTATTTGAAAATATGGCTTCAGGCCTGTTAAGTTACCATGACTTTCAAGAAAGGGGCCCCTGGTTCATCTTCATGTTGTGTTAATGTATAATCACTATTTCATGAAAGCCAGAAGTAGACGAGTCTTCAGCAATTAAATATGTAAAATGTCTCTAAGGCATGTTATGAATTGAGAATATGCGATAACATAGTTATATGTAACCTTCCAGTATGATATTATATACAATTTAAGTTTTGCATTTTTCACCATCTGCAAACTACAGCATGAATTATGCCCAAGATTTTGCTGGTTAGTATATGGGCATGTTGTTAAGACAAGCTACCCTGGTGTTTAGGTAACAGCAATATACTTAATAAAGTTTATTATGATTGAAGGAAACTAAATGCACCAAAGTTAGACACAAAAACCCAAAAAACCAGCAGGTGCAAAAAACAGGAAGCATGTACTCCAACCAAGGCAGTGGTGCCACCCTTGGGGTTTTAGGGTATCCTTTGAATAACATGATATACACAGGTTGATAACAGTACAGCTGTGAGTACAACCTGATGTGAAAATGACAATACTTCAGAAAAAGGAAAAACTAAGTAAGTTAAAATGAAAATGAAACTTAACACAGGGAAGGCTAAATGTAGAATGCCTTGCCTTACTAACAACCCCAACTTACAAACTATGGACCAAAAACTCTCATTGTACCTTGCACACTCCTCTAGTCCTCTGATATGTGCTGGGAAAATATTAATTTATGCTAATTAGGATTAACACAAATTACATCATTCACCTTCTTTGGCTAGGCTGTGTGAGGCTACCTGTTCCTTGAAATTAATCATTCTCACCCTGGCACTCTCATTTTTGTTTTGTTTTTTTGTTCTTGGTTTTCTTGTTTTTCTTTTTGGTAAATGAGTGGGCCACTACCTGTGGATCAAGCTGCATATATATGAACTGTCAATGGTACATGACATGAAAGGTGCCGATTCAACTCAGAGTGACTTTCAACCCTTTCACCTCCCACCCCACATGACAGTAACCATACACTTTGTGAAATGTGTCTTCACATTTGATTTCTTTCTGAGATTTGGACTTTGTCACAGAAAAAGCATCACAGAAAGTCAAAACACGCAAAATTTTGACAGTGTGCACATGCTATTTGTAATTTCCCCCCATTATACAACTGCACTTGTGTTGCATGAAAAATGCACTCATTTTCAACCAATCAGAAGCACATGATTTATTTTTCATGTGTATTATTAGAGATTTAACAATCACATCTAGTTTTGATAACCAAAGAACACTGCAGATTACCACAATCTTAAATAAACCTGCATAGAAATGGATCAGACTAACCTAATGCTGCAGATACCACAGAATAAAGGAGTGATAGGCTTCCAGAGGTAAAGGACAAGCAAAAGGAACAGTTACACACATCACTGCCTCCTTAAAAGGGATGTTCTTGACACTGCCCTTAAACAGGAGGAGAAATAAAAAGGGACACCCACAGAGGTAGCAAATAATTCTTTTATTTCTAACAGAAAGGGTTTCATCACAGGCAGTGATTGATTAGAGAACTTTAATGTTAAGGGCAAAACACCCTGCAACTTGTAGAAGATTGAGAAATGAGTTAAGCAAGACAAGCATCTGTCACCATTAATCTATGGTCACTATTCTATAATTTCTTGAGAAAGAACAATCTACATTGAAAATAAGAGCTGAACGCTAGATTTTAAGGGGTTGCAATTGAGCAATATCAGACTCAAAATTGTGTTAGCTTAGAAGCATGCCCTCATTACTGGCAGTGCAAGACCTGCATTTCTTTGCCCATGTGAAGATTGGGGACAAGTCTAAGAGAGATGTACCAAGGGTCTGGCACCAATAATCAGTGCCACACCCCTTGCAAACCTCTTCCCAGCTAACATTGCTCAAGAACTTGTATTTTTCCATAGGCAAAGAGACACTCACGAAGCACTAATGATAAGGATCTGCTCTTAAGCTAATAATAATTTGGCACATAACCTTGAGTTACTTGTTATTTTGAAATTCAGCATTAAACTGAAGATGGGGTATTAAATCTCTACAAACTCAAGAATCCAGTCCAGTAACCTCTTGCCAAAGGTATAGTAAGGTTACTAAATTCACAAACATTTAAATCAAGCATAGGCATAGTAAGCCATTGACACCGATGATACCCAGTTAGTATTCAGCCATACATGGACATCCTTCCTGCATCAAATGTTCATTTTTCATGTGAAGATTACTGGTCCTTAGTGATGTAAGGCCATCCTCTTAACCCTTTGACCCCTAAAAGATTCCCAGAAGTTAATAACATCTAACTTCTCCTTACCATTCCAACAAGTTATCTTGTATACATGTTATGAGAACAGAGAAGCTTATCAACCAGAGGGTGTTACTTTGGAATAAGACCAACTTCTCCTGTCTAATTTATAAGGAAGAGTATGGCAGTCATAAGAAAAATTATTCATTAGATCTTGGAGTTAAAGGGTTCAAATATTTACCATCCTATCATCTAACCTCATGTTATTTTAAACAATATACTGACACATTAACTGATCGACACAATTATTTTTCTTGCTAATTTTAATTTAACACATATTAAAGATTAAGACTTAAATTTAAACACAATTTGTTTTTTCTAATGTCCTAGCTTGTATTTAATATCAAAAGTATTAACCCTTTAACTCCAATTAGTGATTAAGACAGAATTTCTCCTTACAATATCTGTACAATATCAGGCAGACAAGTGATGAGAATAAAGAATAAGTCTTACTTAGCTAATTATTAGTTGATCCAATACCAAATTCTCAAAATTTGCATCTTTAGAACTGTACTTAAGACAATTAAGAGAAGTACTAGATAAAAATGGGATTTTGGGAGTGAAAGGGAACTTGAACTCAAGTTACCTTCATTAATTGTTTTGTTACCTTTCTTTGCCCAACAATTGACTCACTTTCAAGAAAGGGATGATGGTGACGAAAAACAAAACATTTTAAAGGGATGGCCTGATTTACATACAAGTGTGCATTGTTCGTAAAAGCTGGGTATGTCCTTTGGGAGAAGATGATGCTTGAGGGCAAGTATAACATTCTTGTAATAACATTGTGATTAACTTCTCAGTTGTTCCAGGCAATTGGCAGGCATACCCTGTTCTCACTTAATTTCCTTTAGGCTGTTTTTCACTAAACCAAGTGCCTGAAACAGGCTCCTGGTTGAGAATTCTTCTGTATGGGTGTTTGACACTTCATAGGACATAAAAAAAAGTTTGTAGCAGCGAAAAATGCCTGCCTTGAGTTACAACCTTTTAGTTTTCAACAGGTGTAGGTTGCGGCAAAATTACTTGCACAACATGACCTTTGGGAATTTTCGCCTCTCCTATTGTGGTCTTGTCAATCAACATTCGCCCTGCATAAAACCATCTCTGCTTGGATGGCTCAATCCCTTCCAGTTTTTGAAGCTTTCTCTTAATTTTAAGGACAGTGTCTGAAGTATATACAGTCATTTTAAGGTCCTTGCCAGTCGACAAGCGAAGTTTAATATACAGTTCTTCCCCTGTGGGCACCGAGTCATCATCTTCAACTTCTGCACTAGCCTCACCACTAACATCTTCATCTCTGATTAAATTTGTTGGCTTACTCACACAATAAACTGGGAGGACATATCTGTTACCAAGTTCATCATATGCATCTTGCAATGATCCTTAAAGATAACAAATTTAAAGTTAATGCATGGAGAACTAGGTAATAATTCTTACTTAAGCATCATACCCCAACCCACAACTTTCCTCAAATTTTGTTTAATGATAAAAGTATGAGGCTCTGAAAGCACTCTGGAATAACCTGACTTGTCATCAGTCTTCAAAAGTGCGAGACAGAGGAAGGGTCACACAGTGAATACCTTTTACTAACCAAATTTGAGGTCCAAACTGTAAGTTACAGACGGGGTTTTTATGTTCCATAAATCTGAGCGGGGTTCCATAACTTACAGTACAAACCACGAAAAAACAGTTCGTAAGATATTTCTTATATGTCTGAGTTCAAATGGAGGGGAAATTTTTCAATTCAAACAAACATTTAAATTAAGCAGGTCAGTGAAATACAGCCTGCTAAACTGACCCATCATGACCCATCATGACCCACATACTACCTGAGAGAGAAAATAAAGGGCAAAATGAGACAAGATGATCCTCTGCATTCCCAGCTCTCCCTAGACACTTCTAAACCTCTAATCCTGAACATCTGAATAGTGATTCTCCCTTTCTGTTGCTCAGTCTTCCTTCAAATCAATTACCAGAATTTGGTATTCCATATGGAATCCACCTTAAGCTGATTATCATGCCTACTCTCATTACCTGTTGGCTGAATTAATTGAAATGGGGGGGGGGGGGGGATGGAAACAATGAGCACTGCTGAATCACCTTTCAAATTTAACCTTGTGTTTACCTGCAATTACCACTACCCAAAATTTAAGTTTGTCGTGTAATATCCTGTTTTCTTATTTTCCTACAATAATAATTGCTACAACAGATAAATAAAATTTTAATGCTAGACAGGCATTCAGTTTATGAAAAAAATTGACAAAAGTAATTAGAATAACATTAATTGTGGTCTTGAAAAAATTATTAGTTAACATCTTGATTGCTGAGAGCTGTGACACTCACAATTCATGAGCAACACAACTACTCAGCTAATACATTCAAATGAGCATCTGAAGATACATAAATGTCTATTGATTGTTCAGGAAAGGAAATATTCAATTTTCTTTGACATGATGGGGAAGTGTATTTCTAATGCACCTCCCTTAGGCAAGTGCTGCTTTCGAACCAACCGGCTGGTCAGGTGAGAGCAATTTCCGCTTCACTCACACGAACTCGATATGTTCAGCTACAATACGATCAACATAAACTCTCGCATAAATTAGAGTACATCTTGGTGTTTATGTCGAGTGATGTCTCTTGATATTATATTCAAGGCTACAGCTTGTTTGAGTTTCCATTACCATTTAAGTAAATAACTCAGCAATAGAACAGAGAACTAAATATAGTCTTTTGGAAGCGCGATCAGTTATCGAAACATATTGAAAGTTGGCAATTGGACCATCTGCAGCATATACACAGTCTTTCATGATTCGCGAGTGCATTTTTAAGAACAGGATGCGAACCTACTGTCTCGCATCTTAACAACAACAAAAATAAGTATTGCACACGAACTTCAAATCCGTTTTTTTGACGTGGTAAATCGCTATGGGTATATTAGATCAGCCGATTAGAGACGTTTAAAGACTCATAGGAATACCGACAAAATTTACGGAGAATTCTACTCGGACAAAAAAATTCATCGCTATGGTATTTCTTGCGTGACTTGAGCGATCATTCGACATACATTTTTAGTTCCCTCGCCGTGCTCTAAATTAAGACAACTTCTCAGCGCTCACCTGTGGGAAGAGTAATGTTTGCTCCATCTACAATTGCTTGCGCCCAAGTATGATCGTCCGTTTCAGCAGCTGCTCTTAACGCATCCCAAATCTCCTTCCGCCCTTCAAAAGCAGGCGCAGTCTCCCAAAACTCCTCTCTTTTACTACGGAGTTGGCCTTCTGTAAGAGGAATTTCAGAAGTCCATGGCGGTCTCTCTTTCTTCAGTGGTTGATTGCGACCCAAAGTAACTGCAAAAATAAAACAGTATCGATCAACTCAAAGCACTTTAGTTTTTTTTAGTCCCCGTTAATCGACGATAGAACTTGTCAAGACATTAAGCGAAGATAGAAACTAGTGCATTAACTACAGTACCTCCTGGCGTACTACCAAATTGATCGCTACCAGAGCTGACTCTTATGCTTGGATCTCGAGATGTTCCCATACAACCACCCATAGTTAGGACTGATGAAGAGGGTTAACCAAAAAGAAATTACACTGCACCGCCAAAAAAGGGGTAACAGAGGTCGTTCTCCTCCATTACGTTGCAGATCTTTTCCCTCTGCTACCGTACGAAAAGTTCCTGCGAAATCAATTGATATTCGCTCGATACGTGACGTCAGAGGTAAACAGAAGTGGACATGCGCGCTTGTATTAACATTTTCTCATTTTCCCATTTGTTCAATTTATTGCATTTCAGTATTTCAGTAAGTAATTGCCGAGTGACCCCGGTTCACTTCAGCTCTTATGTAAATGGGACTGAAATTTTATCCGGACTCATGCATCTTTCATTTTATCTTGAAGCTTTCCCCAATTTTTTCCAACCCCTAATCATTTTGCTGTTCTTCAATGTGTGTTTACCACAAATTTCAGCCATCAATCCCCCTGATCTCTTTACTTACAAAAATTTACATTCCCTGACCAAATTAATGCAAAGCTTAACATACATCCTTGCCAAATCTCAGTTGTGTATACCATACCATAGAAACTTAGAAAATGAGAAAATTGCTTTCTTCACTTACAATGGGATAAAAGTGGCCACAAAAGCTTTCTTCGGCCTTCAATGACATAGCGAGTGACCTTAAATTTTAAATCATTTTTCTGCCTTTGAATCAAAAATCTAATTTGTTTTTTCAAAATATAATTATTTCCATTTTCCTCTTAATATGATACAAAAGAGACCCAGTATTCTGCTGTTACAGGTGTCTTAGAAATGGTAAAAGCAAACCTATTCATGACTAAAAAACTCTAAAAGCCACGTATAGTTTGCCGAGTTTAAAAAAAGAGTGTGCTGAGAAAAAAGTTTAGCCCTGAGGATTTCTTTTATTGCACTATGCATGAATTATGAAAGACTACAAACAGCTGTTTTGTTTGTCAATTCTGTCCTGGATGGGAACAAAATTTTTCTCATGTCTTCAGTAAACAGACAATAACTAGAGCAAAAATGTGACACCAGTCTTCAATGCAAGAACTCAACCCATTCGTGACTAAGTTAAAGCAAAAAAAAAAAGAAAGTAGCAGGAAATACTGTAGGTGGTAAAACAAAGAGGCCCTTCACAGGTTCTTGAACTGAGACAAACCCAAATCTTGAATCATCATCATGAACCACATGAAAAAAGAGAATTTGAATGGTTTGAGTTTGTTTGAAAGTAACAGTAAGTTTTGGAACCCCCTTAAAAATCTTGTTGAAGAGAAAAGCATAGTATGCAACAAACAGGTTTAAAGCTAGAATGTTTTCCTCTCAATCACAAATTTCACTGAATGTTGAACAGTCATTTCACATTTGAAAGTCCAAAGTCTTGTTTAGTAACTATCAGAATTTTTCATTAGCAAAAATGTTCTTCACTGAGTTCAACAATATTGAAAGCAGTATTAAATACCACTAACCAAAGATTATTGATCAAGAGCAATGTATAATTTTACGACAATAATTTTTAATCTAAGCAAGAAACTATAACTTGTTCAAGGGCATACTGGAAGAATAGACTGCTAAATGTAATAGAATTTCTTTTATTCAGGAGAATAGGTTTGATCATCTTTGTATAAAATGTCAGACTATACATGAGTTTAGAGCTAATGACCAGAAACAAAAAGAATCACAGATGAACCTGCAAAGTGAAACCCAAACACAAGAGCCTGCCAGTAGGTTACCCTCAAACTCCCAAGATCTGATTGTTAATTCTCCCCTCTAGCTATTGCACATTTCCTTGTAAATTGGTCACAAGAATTTGGGGTACAATCAAGGAAACAACTTAAACCTAATAAGTTTGAGTTTTCTCACAACCTGTTTGCAAGATGATGTATGGATATCATAGGGAAAAGTTACGAGTGAATAACTTCTGGGAGTTAAAGGGCTAAACAGACATCCTAATAGGTTTTATAGGCAGCTGTAGACCACAGGTTTCAATTAAAGCTGTTATTGAAACCTCTGCTTACCAAGTGTAACCCTAATAGCTATCATGTATCTTTTACCATTCTATAGTTGACAAAATGTAACATGTAGAGTTAATTGAAGAATGACAAATTTTCCAGCCTCTTAAAAAGTAGTTACTTAAAAGTTTTATTTTCATTGCAAGATTTCTATTCTATTGCAATATTCCTTTTTTTTTCTAATTATACACCTTGCTTGTTCCCAGAAATTACCACTGTTTTTAGTTTCTTGACTTGTAATTTGCGACATTCCTGAGAAAAACTGCAAACAGGGTTCACAGGTAAGTAAAATGTTTGGGTAAAAAATTTATTCAAAGATAATTGAAATGGAGAATGGAAAATTCCAGAGAACAGAAACACCTTAAATTTGATAATTACTAAAATAAATAGTTTAAATATTATCAAAACCAGTCAGGTAAAGCCAAGGAAATGCAGGATCCCCATAAAATATGACACTGACTGAGAAATTCAAAAAAAATATAATCATCTCTTGCACTTTTCAGCCCAATTTTTGAAAATAACTTTCTTCATATTCTGTAGGAAATAATGATTCTCACTACACAACTGGGAAAACAAACCCCACATTGAATTTTAGCCTTCTGAGGCACCTAGCTCTGTGCAAATTACACTTCAAACTTCTCTATCCTCATTAACCTGAGGTGGTGTACACCAGGATAAACCTATGACAGGAAGTTGGTAGTCACAACTTTGAACTTTACTCCTCAGAATGACTAACCAAAGTAATGGGCCTACTGTTAGTAGCACTTAGCCTCTGAGCTGGCCCTTTTTATTAATACTCCAGGATGTGCATTTCCCTGCTCATGGGAGGATTTGAGACGAGTTGGGAGTAGGGAGAGAGATTAGTCTGGGGTCTGGCAATCATTATCAGTGCTACCCCCTGCAGATCTCTATCAGGGGTTGCCTTACACTATCTTGCAGTCAAGGAATTGCTCAAGCTGAAGCACTTACAATGAGGGCTTAACTCATGTTTGACTATTATGTAAGAGTGGACGTGCTGGAACTGAATACAGAATTATGCGATGAATCATTCAAAGATTCAGCAGCAAAAGTGAAACGTCTGTTTGGTCCTGATTGCAGAGAAGTCTCATGAAGTCTGTCAGCTGAGTACTTGGACTGAAGTTCCAAAGATCCCACACTAAATGGACGTGGTTTCTTCTCCGAATGTGATGCAGTCTCTGACTTATTATTCAGTTCTTCACTTTCACTTTTTTTGGAGTCCAAAGATGGTTTCACAGGTTTGGTTCTCAAGCCTGTAGAACTTAAGTAAGGTGACACAACAAACGAAATGAGATGTTCAAGTTTTCTGTAGTTTCTGCTAGTTTGGTCATCATGAACACCCTAGTAGACAAATAGACTTATCGTTATGGAATGAAAAATATATATAAAAAAATGTTGCATTTATAAGCTATAACCTTTTTCAAAATTCTTGAAAAATTCCCCCTTGTCAATGTTGGTAGAAAATTGGGCATCATTGAAATAGAGGCAGGGTGATTGAAAGAAACATGATGAAAGTTAAATGAAATATATGATATTTTGACCTGCAGATGCAACACAAGTTAAGAGCTTATCTTCACAGAAGAGGTTAAAAAAAGAATTGAAAAAAGAAAGGCTTTGATGGGATTTGAACCCATGTTTCCCAGATAGAAGAGTAGTAGATTTTGAGTTGAATGTCACTTTGCATAACTTAAAACCCTTTATACCTTAGCTGCAACAGCATATTGTCACAAGCCACGTTACTTATTGCCCTGTGACATTCTGTTTGATCATCATATCAGATATATCTGTCATGAAGGAAATCAGGACACTTGGCAAAACTATCATCAGCACAGAAGCATGTGCTAGTTATACTCATTGTCAGTTAATTTATATTGCTGAAGAAATAACACTTTGAAATTGGAAATATTTCCAGAAATTTGCAGGTAAAAGACCCTCTCCCTTACCGCATAAAATGTCTGTAACTTTTCAAAAGTAAGATTTCTTATTCTAAACTGAAACAAAAGCTGACTAATTATCAGGTGCTCCACCTGTTAACCCTTAAACTCCCAAGTTCTGACTGTTAACTCTCCCCACTACTTTCTGCAAGTTTCCCTGTGAATAAGTTACCAGCATTTGGTGTTAGATCAAGATAACAACTCTTACCCAAGAAGTTTGAGTACTGTCATTACATTCTTGCTGAATAATGTTTGGATTTCATAAGGAGAGGTTATATCAGAAGTTAATCACTTCTGGGAGTTAAGGGATTAACCCTCCAACATTGGAGAGACTGGCAGAAACCTCACAAAAAGACTGACTGCGACAAGAAATGGTGATGTCAACAAAAACATTGCTGAACATTATGAACTTAAGAACCACACTATTGACTGGGACTATGTTCAATGCCTAACCTACATTAGTATACAATATTAATACTAGCATTAATACTTTAATATTTGAACTAATGAATCACATCACAGCTAACCTGATCAATCAGTTTACAATACATGACTGACGACAACTACTGTACCCATTTGACTATGATGAAGGTCGTTGGAACATCAGTCACCACTACCAACAACATTCCTTCTCAAAATCAAATGTAACCCCCTGGTTCAAACAATTTATAACACAATCGTTGTTTGTTTGAGAAAATTTGGCTATAGTAGCCATAATAATAAAGTTAAAAAGGATCTGACAGTAATTACTAATGATATGACAGTAATTGATAATGATATGGCTGCCTTCTGTTGTTGTAATGTTCATGAATGTACCCTTGGGTATCATTGTGATTTTGATCAATGGCTATTGTTCTTCAAATAATTATTGAAAAGCAGCTTACGACAAATTATAATTTTATACAAACTGGGTATTTCTACTTTCCCTTCTATTTGCCCAAATATAGGTCTCTCACCTGCAAAATCAACAGCATCTGTGCGACTTTTGGCGGAACAGTCAAGTCCATAACAAACGCTTCTTCCAATTTAGTTTTCAACACTACAACGTCGCGAAAGTTTAATAGAGCAATAGACCTAGTAGACTGAGCTTCACGGGACTGTATGTCTAAGAAAATTGCTTGAAGTAACGGCAATATCGTACAGAAGAAGTAAGTCCAACTATCTGCCAGCTTATCCAACAGAACCTCGCCATTTTTGTCTTTGACGTCTTCGCGTAGAATGATCATTCCTTTAACAAGTGATTCTTTAAACCATTCACAAATCGTTGAGCCGCCGACTTCCTGTTTCACAGATTTAACCTTTTCTGTAAGACTGCTTAATTCTGATTTTGCTAACTTCTTTCGTTGAAATAGGGCAGTTACAGCATTTGATACAGTGTTCCAATCTTCATTCTTTCCGCCTGCAAAAGTAAACTTCTTATCGGTAATTTTCGGGCTTCTTGGTCGTTGCACTCCAACCATCGTTACTGAACCATCCTTTCTTAAGAATTCACCTAAATTTGACACCGGCGACCGCGCCATGAAGGTAAAATAGCGGTAACTTCATAAAATTTAGAAGTGATCAAGTGCTCCATGAAACGGGCTGAAAGCACAATTTGGGCACTAGTCTCTTTCGGACAACTCAGTCC